CCCCAAAACCCCAAAACCCCAAAACCCCTCCTTCATTTTAAAACTTGGATATAAAAGATAATATACGTTTAATTCAAAATTTAAAGTAAATCAGCAATAAATTTATATTGGTTAGTTTTAATAGGTGAAAAGTTCAATCTTATTACATTTTAGTGTCATCATTCGGAAGAAATCATAGTTTCATCAGGATTTTCACTTTCATCAATTTCCTCTGGGTCCATATCTAAGTCACTAATTGAGGCCTTATTAAAAGCTGTTGCAAGTAGCCATGCAATTATTAGAAATACATTAACAGCTCCAAAGAGCCCCTTAGCATTCATTATATCACTATCTGTAATGTTATTAGGGTTGTAGTAAAAGATTTTATTGGTGTAAATCGGTAGAATATAAATTATGAGCAAGCAGAGAGCAACTATACTAGTCATTACTGAACTGACTATATAGTATTGACGGAATTCTAGTCGGTATTCATCCATGTTTCTCATTTTTTCATCTGATTTTTATTTGTAGATAAGAGTTAAGGAAAGTCCTAAGATGAGACAAAAACTCGTAAAGACCATGAACACTATGTTAATTATGGTGCTCACTTTAGAGTATAGCTACAAGAATGAAGCCTTATCAGATTAACTGAGTATTACTAGAATATGCATGATTGACATTCCAGCAAGAAGCCCTAAAAACATGTTGAATAGCTTATTAACTCGGTTAACCCACACTTTTTGTATCTCTCTCATTTCTTTCTCTAAGAACTCTCTATTTGATTGTAGTTTCTTTGTTTTATCATTGATATCAGCTTATTGGATTTAAAGATTGATTTCTTTTTTGACAGGCATGAAATTACCAGTGACTAGTGACTCAACGTATCTCTAAATTTTATCTAGTCTTTTTCCATCAAACTATCTCATCTCTCCCTCAATCACAACTACAGCATCTCTGCCAATATAAGGTTCATTTGAGACATCTTCTTGGACTAGATTCATTAAATGAATTTACCCTCCAGTCTTGTTAGGACTTTGATTTAATTCCTTCCTAAAAGGCATGTTTGATTATCTGGTTGGTGTACGTGGTTCATCATTGAAATTAAAAGCAGCACTATCCTCATGCCTGTCATTGTAATCATCATCATCATTTATATTAGCTGGCTAGAAGGGTGCTTGATTGTTTATGTTATAGTCAGCATATTAAAAGTTATTAGGATCATTGGCATACTGAATGCTCACTCCTTAGTTTATAAATGGCAATCTATGAAAGACAAAAGATTAAGGAAGATGCAATTTCTTACTAGTTTCTATCCATTTGAATTTATTGAAATTAATTTGATTATAAATTAATAAGACTGCTGGATTGTTTCAGTTTAAAAGTAATAGTAATAAAATATTAGTTTAAAATATTTATAATAAAAATATAGGGTATACTCTTGCATTAATCTCACAAATACATACATACTCTAAATTACTCAAAATGAGCTATTCACGAACTCCACTATCGAAAAGAAATTTCCACAATAAAAGTACCAACTCTTATTCTTAGTGTTCTAAAAGATTTATGATGTTATAGACGCATATCACAATAATGGCGGGGGCTAGAGTTATCAATATATGTCTGCTCGGTCAAAACTAGAACCAATATGCAAAGTTTGCGAACAAGATCTCTATGATGATGAGCTAGATTTCTACCCTTGCAATTGCAAGTTTCAGGTATTCTTAACAATCCCTGCATCTTAGTTGATAATAACGAATTTACTGTAGATATGCTATGAATGCTACAATATTCAGCTAGAGAGGAAAGACCAAAAGTGCCCAAATTGTCTGAAGTATTACGAGCTACACAGAGTCAATGAATATATTAAAAAAAGCTCCTCACGTTAAGTTAAAAATATATCTTCCACTTAAGAAGTAAGAATCACTTCTATCAAACTTATATTTATCCTGTTTAGACTTATTCCTCTTCAAATATGAGTTCCTACAGCATGAAGCACGGCAGTCAGAACAATCAATCAGCTGTGAAATAGCTGTAGCAGTACTCAAATAAATCTCCCTCTCAAAATAATAAAAGGACATCTTCTGACAATAATAGACAACAACACCAGCAATAAACAGTCTCAAATCCAATCTCTAAATTAAGTTCAATCAGAATTCTTCAGAAGCATATTCTTTACGTCATAGGGATATCCCCTTCAATTGCTAAAGAAGAAACTTTAAGAAGATATGAGTACTTCGGATAATATGGTCGCATCCAGCAAATAACCATAAATAGAGAGAATGCCTACAACTCTGAAAATCAAGGCATCTGTTTCTCAGCTTATATCACATATTCTCAGCCACAAGAAGCCTCAATCGCAATATTAGCTGTTGATCAGTTTGTTTATGACAGCAGACACATCAGAGCATCCTTTGGACGCACCAAATACTGCAAGTTTTTCCTCAAAGATACTCAATGCCCAAAGAAGGAATGCCCTTATTAGCATACAATTTGTGATTAGAATGAAGCACTCACTTAGGATGACATGCAGAAGAGACAACTCTTTTAACAATGCCAAACTCTAGCTTTTTCTCTGTCGAAAGTTTGTCAAATCACCGAGGACTAGTTCAGACTAAGCATAAAGCAATTCAAAGATACATACTACCCAGGTTAATAACTCAAATCTATTATGCCAGCCCCAGAGAGTATTTATGCCAAGAAAGCTTTATTCAAATAATATGCTCAATATGTAAAACTAGCCTAATCATAGCAGCAATAGTAGTAACTCACTTAAAAATATAATGCTCCCAATTCAAGTAGGTCTGTCAATATCAGACAGCCTTCCTGCTCCTAATAAGATTAGCAATAAGTTCTAGCGTAATCATCCAATATTAATATTGAAGGGAATTCTGATAAGATTTAATCCAGTCAGTAGATTTACAAATCCTCGATGTCAACTTCATCACAAAGCTTTTAAATTAAGAACAGAAATCAAATAACTCAATCAGATAATGCTTAAACTAATCTTGCCAGTGAAGAGATAAAGGTTGATGATACTTAAAAGAACTAGGCTAGTGATGTAATTTCTATAAATAAAGATGACTTGACTTAAAAACAGCCAAAGAGAAATAACTCTACTGATGAGTTGAGAAATAACAGAGACTAAACTTATTAAAATACAATGAAGAACTTTGAAATGCAAATTGTGCTTAGTCTGACTAAGTAACTCTAAAGCGAGCAAGACTCTAAGAATCAGAACAGCTAAATCAACGAGGAAACTAGTATATTCAATGAGAAAAGAACCAGTAGATTCCTGAATATGAGAGATAGCAGTGATGAAGAGGACAGAATACCTTAGAGAGAGAACATCATACTTTCAAGAAGGTCTAGTTTGGGCTAGGGTTACAAAAAGGGCTCAATGCAATCACTTATCGTAGAAAGCTTAAAGTTCTTGATAGATGATACTGATGTTGTGCCAAACAAGAGAGAACCTCTTATCCAAAAGAACTAATTTGATACTCATCCGCCAAGTGAAGTTTTCAATATTGCAACACCAGCTCAATCTAATCTCGGTGGGTATAATGACGAAGATATACTTTGGAACAACACAATATTCTCTCAAAACGAATATAACCATAACACCAGAAACATGAATAATCTAGATGACAAGAGTTATTACTCTCACTAGGGCTTTAACAATCATTAGTAAAGATTTAGTCACACTATAAAGGATAATGGGGGCAACTCACTATTTGCAAACTCTTTCCTGAATCAAAACTTTTAACCAATGAGATCCTAGGTATTCAATGACAGCAACTTTTAGAATTCATTTTCAGCCCACAAGCCTCAGTATGGATAGAGTTTCTTCGGAAATATAGGGGTTGGTCCATTCGGTCCATTCAACTAAGGGAATCAGAACTTTGCTGGAAGAAAGACGACTCTCGCTCCAGAGTAAATAGAGTCACAAATTGTTGGGGAAAGCAAAAGCCTGCAACTGAACAGGTCTCCAAGTCAGCCTAACTATGAAAAACTATGTCTGAGTTAACAAGCCAATTCGAGAAATCTAAATGTAAACCAATTCAATTAAATATAGATAAGCCAATTCAACACCTAGTAAATGTTTGCTGGTGAAGCCAACATGTAATAATAATTTAAAAAGTCTCTTCCCATTCAAGCCTCAGCAAGTGTATAAGGAATTAATATCAATAATGTGAGTAATAAGCAGTACTAATTAAATAAGTAAAATCTAGACTTGCTTGACAAGCATTATGAGACTAGCAAGGATCTGATGTACGCTAAAATCTTTTGCCAAGATGGAGCTGCATCAATGAACAACAACTTTATTTCTTCACAATCACTGTTTTACTATAACAGTCAACTGGATGATGGATACGAGGGTCCTGATATGAGCAATAAACGGTTCAGTAAGTTATCTGAGCGAGGCTAAATCCCCCGAACTCCTGTTAAGGACAGCCGAGGTTTATTTAGACTTACTGACGATGATGACTTCTATCATGATGACAGTCAATTCGACTAAATCACCAAAAATAGTGAACCTAAGAACTACTATAAAGAATTCCTAAGTTTGAAGGACAGTAGCATATTCAGTGGTAATTTATTCAGTAAGAGAAGAAACTCTCTAGAGTAAGATAGAGAGAAGCTACATCCACAATCCCTCTAGTTCAATAATACTCTTTCGCCCTTTATCAATGACAGCTAGACTGATAATGGTGGTTTAGGCGTGCCTGGGCAGATCAAGAAAAAGAGCAAGTCTAGATCTAGACAGCGAAAGACTACTGCTATGACAGCAACCTTCGAAGGCAAAGAATGAGATAATAAATATAAATGATGCATTAAGAGAGCATGCATTCATTCAAAGAATAATAACTCAGACATAGATTAATAAATATATATAAGCTCAAATGTAATTCCACTGCAGCCAGAAAATAAACTTAGATAGATACTGAAAGTTTGTTCTTAAAGAAAAACTTTCTCAAGTCAATTAGAGTATGCTTTGCTGCCAGCTAGAATTAATGTTTGAGTGTTAAATCATAATTTATGAGAATAAAAGTTTCACGTCCCACGCAACCATTCTTTTTTCTCTTCAATATTTAAACACTAATCAATAAGAATATATTTATATAAACATATATTACTAAGTGCATTATTAAAATTAATCAGAATAAGAAAATGATGAAGTCATACATAACTAAACTGCTTGACTGGATTAAGAGTAAATTCTGGAACAAGGAGTTAGAACTGGCTGTGGTAGGACTGCAAAACGCTGGCAAGACTACTCTGTTAGGTTCACTAGCTACTGGAGAGTATGATGAAGATACTATACCTACCATTGGATTTAACTTAAAGGAGATCAAGAAGGGCAAGGTAGGAATGAAGATGTGGGATCTAGGAGGATAACCCAAGTTTAGAGAGTCTTGGGAAAAGTATTGCAGGAACACTGACTGCATTGTATTCGTAGTCGATTCCATAGATATCAGTAATATGGAGATGGCTAGACACCAGTTGCACCAGCTTATATCGTGGCCATCTCTGGCAGGCATCCCATTATTAGTATTAGGAAATAAGAATGACCTCGACGGAGCTTTGACTGAGGAAGAACTTATTGAAGAGCTGAATCTAAGAGTGATTACAGATAGAAAGATAGCATGCTTCTCAATTTCAGCCAAGGATATGGTTAATATAGATATAACCATGAAATGGCTGACAACCTTGCCAAAACTTTCTAAGCAACCTCAAAATGAATGATAAATTTGAAAATAAAATCGACAGAACGAGTTTTAGATTGATCAAAATAAACTAATTGATTATTAAGGAAATACTTTGTATATAAGACCATGATTAATAAAAGAGGAAATATCCAAGTAAGATAGAATGAAGAGTGTTAAGTTGATCAAATTTATTAGTTTTCTTAATGATCATTAATTTTATTAAGAATTTTACAATACTCTTTGATATACAAACTCAAAGGGATATTTAATATAGCTCAATATCCCTTTGGCATTCACTTGCTCACTATTTTATAAAGTTTCACCTTCACTTTTAGCTGGCTAAAGATTACTTTCATCATCATGACTTTCGTTGCTCTAATCAACCTTAATGTCTTTGTAGAGCAGTAGTCCATCATAAGTCTTGTCAAAGATCACATAATGGCTTTTAACTCTTTTTAACACTCTAAAGTCATTTTTCTCATAAAACTTTATTGCTGTCTCATTATAGTCTACCACATGCAAGTATATCACTTCACAGGCTGTTATTTACTGATTCAAAATTTTGATTATTTCTCTTAATAACATTGTGCCAAGTCCCATCCTACGACACTCATCGACTACTCCTATGGTCATAATATAAGCAGCCTAGTACTCTCTGCAAGTCAAAGTAGTCTTGAACCAATTGAAAATGCCTCCACTATAGTAATCCTTTGCAGTGTACATCTCAGTAATGTCTTCATTATTGCTATTAATCTTGACAAGTGCACATCCTAGTATTACGTTCTTATTCTAAGCATCTAGATCGATAAAGCAGCCTATTGCTATTACTTTATTCTTAGTTATTTTATCATAGAAGGTGTCTGGATAATTCAGAGGAAACCATTCCTCATGAAGATATCTCAACTCTTTGAGATGCTTACTCTTAATCTAGCTAAAATATATCTTGCTAGGATCTATCTAAGTCATTTCTCGTCGGAGTAACTTATGGATCTTAGACTTAACCTGAACTTCTTACTCTTCAGGCCAAGCATCTGACTCGACTAAAATTCTATTGGGATCAAATTTTTCTGCCTTCTGCTCTTCAAATTTGCTATCGCTTATGTCTATATTTTAGAATAATCCGTTATTAGACGAGCTACTGGCGTAAGATTTCTATCTCTGGCCATTACCATTTCCTGCCATGTTCATAATTAGAGATGGATCACTTCCATATATTAACTATTCTTAGCCATACAAACTGCTATCTTCGCTTTCATCCTAGAATTCAGTACTTTTTTCCCCAATTCCATTTTCAAATTCATTTCCATCGTTGTCTTCCTCCAACTCCTTGTACTATATCACATTATTGTTCTTTTTCTTAGATTTTATCTTCTTTTTCAAATACTATGTCATTTTTTAATTTATAAGACTTTATATATTTTTCTCGCTCAAACATTTTATATTTCTAATAGGTGGGGTTTTGGGGTTTTGGGGTTTTGGGGTTTTGGGG